TTATTGTACATGAAACTGTAAATCTATTATATACAACTTGCTGTTCCTTTTAAATATATAATAATGTTATCATGTACATTTTTTTTCTTTCTTTTGTTCCCTCCCTCTCCCCTGCCCTAGAGATGGCTACCATTACACATAAATCACTCTACACGTACTTTTATTTATCAGTTCTTTCTCAGATAGTGTCTTCCTTCATACGTCCTTTGTAGCTAATTTGGGTATTTATAATAGTCAAAATTACTTATTTGTTCAAAGTTGTTCTTAAAATAATATTGCTGTTTTATTTATTTTTATTCATCCTTTGTTCAGTCCTTTTATTCATCTCTTAATGATGCCCTACCACATTTCTGAAGCAGCTGGTCCGACTTTCTTATGATGAACTTCTCCAGACTTAGAGAGGCATGCTAGTCCTCAGATAATAGATGCACAATCCATTGGTAGGTCTGCATTCTGGCCTTTCCTCTACCTCCATTATTTACTGTTCTGGCCAGAGGAGAAATCCTCCAATTCCCCACCCTCCCTATTTGCAGGGAGTGGTGTCTGAAACCTCACAGGGAGTAAGACACTTGTATCAACATCCACAGTAAGCTTTGACCTCTTATCTGGTAAACCATGACAGAGAAGCAATCAAGCAGAAAGGGAGACTGGAGGGAAGAGAAGTATTGAGAGACCTGTGTTCTGGTCTGGACCACTGATTTCCATATGTGACCCTGATTAAGCCTCCTTTCTAGAGGCAATATTACTAGGAATACAGGCCTGTGCATTAGCACTGGGGAGGAGGGGGAGTGGCCCTACATAAAGTCAAACAGGTAAGTATATTATTTGTCACTCCCTGGACACTGGAACACCTGCTGGCCCTCGAATGACTCATTCCGTGACTTCCTCCACTGGATGGTTTCTATTTCACCTGACAGAATAACAAAAGAGTGAAACCAGCACAAAGGACAATCAGGCATGGTGGCCTCAACTTGGTAGTGTGGGGAAGTGGGGTGAGGCTAGAAAGAAACAACTTTTGGGGCAATACGGTGGCAAGGTCAGATAACAACTGCCCACAAAATCAGGCAAATTCAAGCAACTGAATGGAACTTCAAAGAGGGAACATTTGGGAGAATAAGGAGTTTTTCACATGGTTTCAACAATGGTGGAGGGCCATGGGGCCGGGCAGAGGCTAATGAACTCTTGTCCATTTTCCCCCATCTTTCCATACATTTGTAGTGATCAGGTATGGCCCCAGCTGGCTCACTCTGAGGGGATTTGAAGGATGCTAACAACACTTCCACACACACACTCCCTACCCCCCCACACACATTTTAGTATCTTCCCACCCATAGTGCTCCAAGGTAGGAAATGTCATCTTTATTGCCAAAGTCTCCACTGTCATTTCCCTCCAGAAGTCACTAAGGCTCTTTTAACTGTTTGACAACACATTTTCCTTAGGGTTCCTCTCCTCTGCTCTCTTTTCAAAGGGAAACACTCCAACCAATACCTAGCTGTCAATGAATTATCAGCTCCCCACCCCCAGATAGGAGGCTGCCCTGAGTCCAGAGGCAAAAGAAAGAAATGAGGGAGATAAGCAGTGTGGGAGTCGATAAAAAAAAAAAAAACTCCAACTACTTCACCAGTGTGGTTTGGGCTGGCCCTAACAACCGCATAAACAATAGTACAATTGTGTAAAGGTTGCCTGTGTTAGAAACACAGACCAGGACGATGTTCCACTTAGACGTAGCAGGAAGCCCTTTGGATCCATTTTCATTAGGGGTATAGGCATCTGCAAACCATAAGAAAGATGCTAATGGCCAGCTTCCTTTCTAGTCTGGGATCCTATGCCTCTCTCAAACATGTCTAAGATCAAATCAGCTTTGGGGGGCAACCATATTACACTGTTGATGTTGAGGTTTAGGTGTTTTAGGGGTGCTGGGACCCCAAAATCACAGCATGCGGGTCCTGTCCGAAAGAATTTGACCCAAGCCTTCTTTCAGCCAAAAACGAGGTTTATCAGAACATCTGTCATATTGGGCAGACTCTTAAGGAGTCTGAACATTAGTGAGCTATTGTCTAGATTGTAAGAATTTGAGCACCTTAATAGAGACAAGATGGACCTTATATACAGAAAGACTGTGGGAGGGATCTAGGAGTGGCCAAGTAGTTTGGGGTGACTCGAGGAGGGGTCTAAGGAGGATTTGGGTGGGAGTGGCCAGTAAACTGGGATGAACAGAACACTTAGGACCTGGACCACACAGCCAAGGGAGAATGAAGCCTAGCTAGGATTAAGGGTGGGAAATGGCCAGGGGCCACAGGGAGGTAAGAAAATGCAGGGCTAGGCTAGGTTAAGGGTAACAGAGAATTGTGAGATTGGTTTTAGCCTCAGTGAAGGGCCAGTTGATGGGATTATGACCCCAGGAAAACCAGAGATTTGGCTCTGTGGCAAAGTCCAGGATTTTTCCTTTCTGGGCTCCAGATCCCAACCCCATCATTGAGACTCCTAGGGCTTGTGATCCACTAAGACCTCCAGATCTTTTTAGCTTTGTATTTAACCCACTCGGCTTTAGAACTCCTGCTCTGGGGCTGAGCTGTCCTAATTGGCAGTAAAGTAAGTGCAAACTTAACTAGACCTGCAATATTATAGCAGTGAGAAGTAAGAAACTATTATATTTCCATATAAGGAAATTGAGAGGAAAGTAGCTTTGGGTCAGAAACCAGCTGAAACTGGCTGTTTGATTAAAGAGGCTAAAAGAAGGACAAAGTTTAAGCTTTACATGCTTGAAACTTACCTAGGGGAACATGTAGTGGGCCTTTCGGGAAGTCTGTGACCTGTGCTGACTTCTACCAATGAAAGTCAGCTAGGAGGGACTTGCAGCTGGGAATAGGGATATAAAGTTTGTTCTCACTTCTGTAGGATGTGTGTGTACTCATCTCAAGTTCCACACCCACTTCCTGTGGGAAGCTATTAAAGATTTCATTACTTCACTCATCCTGAGTCTGTCTAACTTACTCTGCCTATTTGGGCACCAGAGGTTATTTCCAACATAGACAATTCTGGGCCACCAAATCATGCTTCACATCCCATCTAGCCATCTACACATACTTAGGTCATTCTGCCATGTGCCCTACCACACTGTATGTGCATACACACTCCTTTCAACTTCTCTCTGAGCCCAGTAATCTAGTAGATACTCCCATCAATTGATCACCCTATGTGTTGTCTCTATTACAAAGAAAGCTTCATGGTAGGAACTGCGTTCCTTTTTGTATTTTGCACCTCCCCACTCCCCACCCCCCAGCACGGTAGTGCAATGCCTGGCACATAGCCCTCAATGAATGTTTTTAATTCATTCATTTATTCATTCTAGTTGCAACTTCAGTGTCCAGCATTTTTTCAGATTTCTCCCATTCATGCATTCCATGTTCCATCCCAACTGAAACTCTGCCCAATCTCTTTCTGCCCTCTCTTAACTTTTCCTTCCCTTTGCATCCCAAATAACTGTCACCCAGAGTTAGGATGTACTCCTTCCATATCCCTGCCCACTGAACTCCTCCTCTTCCCTCAGGACCTGACTCAGGCATGACTTTCCATACAACCTTCCCTGACACTCCTTTCCCCATTTCCCCCTACCCTGCAGCTAAAAGGGATTTCTCTCTCCTTAAGTTTGTATAGTACTTCTCACACAAAACCTTGTGCCATGTTTATTTCTGTATATTTTTTTATTATTTCATTATTTATTATTATTTATATATTTTATTATTTTATTCATCTCTCCTCCCTCCCCATTAGATTTCAAATTCCTTAAGGGAAGGAATAGGGTCGATTTTTGTGTTTTTTTAAAAATTTTTGTATCCCTAGCTCCTAGCACTATGTCTGATATATGGTAGATATTCCATAACTGTTTATTTAATTAAATACATGGTTCACTTGTCGAGAAGCTCTGTGGTTTTCAATTTGTTCATTTTCACAATGACCCTGAAAACTAGGTTGGCCTTGCTCCCATTTTACACATGAGAAAACTAAAATTTGAACTCAGGGAACTAGTTGATCCCTGAGCAAAATGCACTGCTCCTCAGTTGGACGAGTTCCTGACTTGGTGTCCCCAGTTAGTGCTCATTCATTCAGTCAATTAATAAACAGTTATCAAGTCCCTACTATGTGTAAGGCATTGTGCTAGATTCTGGGGAATGCAAGAAGAAAAAGAGAATTGTCCTTAGAGAGCTTATATTCTCTTAGGGGATGTGACATGTGGACAGAGAAGGTGATTTGAGGGTGGAGAAACATTAACACCCATGAATATCAGAGAAAGCTTCCTGGAGGAGGTGGTACCTGAGATGAGCCTTGGAGCAAGGAAGTAGAGATGGATTGAGGAAAGAGTGCAATCCAGGCATAGGGATAGTAGCCCTAACTGGTTATTTCTGCCACCGTTTTCCTCTTCTACCTTGCTGTAGTGACTAAGTTCCAAGACAGTAAGAATCTGGTGCCAGTCATTCCCACCGAACACCAGGATGCTATGAAAATCCTTTACACAATGATGATGACTGGGAAAACTATAGCTCAGCTGAGGTCTTAAAACACAACCTACATTACTCACAGTGGTGCCTTAGCGGGGCTGGTCATACATATGATGAGTAGAGCAGGCAGTCTATGGGGTGTGATTTCAAGGTCTGGGGCAGGCCCAGATACATCTCCCAAATCCTCCTCTGCCATCTGGCTGTTCACTAAAATGCCCAGCTTCAGCCCTTGGGCTTAAGGCTCCCTTCCCAAATAAAGGTTAAATGTTTGTTGAATTTAATTGAATTGGAAACATAAAATCTTAAGGTACTGCCAGTCATCCACAACTTGGAGTGAATTAGTTTATCAGATCTTGGGAGTGGGGGATGGGGAGAAGGGGGTCAGATTCCATCAGGGAAACAGAGGAGAGAGAATGAGGGTTCAGAATGGAGACACGAGGTTTTTAACAGGTTCACAGTTTCGCCTCAGGCAGAAGCGAGGGTGTTCAACAACATGACCCCTCAGTTCTACTCCACCTCTGTGAGTCGGGTTCCAGTCCAAAAGCAACAAAAGTTCATCAGCCCTCGTCGCTATAAGCAAGGTAGCTACCACCTAAGACAGCCCGGGTAAGTCTTAGAGAACCGAAGGCTGAAGGAGTCCGGAGGGGTCAGCCGGTGGATCACAGGCTGGAAAAGTACCCCCCCCACCCCCGCTCCCAGCTAAAAATGTCGTCATTGTAACAAAGATCTGCAGCCTAAGGCTCCCCAGACGCCATGCAAGGTATCCCAAAAGCCCGAGTGCCCCTTCAAGATTTAATAGTTTATAATTCATGGTATTGACTGACTGGCTGCACTAAGGGAAGATCCATTTAAAAGCTCTGCTCTAGGATGTACTCAGGGTTTTAGCAGGGGTGTCCTGGTAAATGTCTAACAACTTGCTCTCCAGAAATGACGTCACACACTCTTACACTTAATCTACATTATTAACATTTTCTCCATCACTCTATTAAGTCTAGACAATCAGCAAAACAATTCAATAATTCAAGCCCTAATGTATAATATTTGCCAGTTTCAAAGATGTAGGTGCTTACGCTGAAAATTCAAAAACCAGCTCTTAATAGCAGGTAAGAGTCAGCTTCAACACACCTCTAGTTTCTGGTTTACAATCCCAGACAGAAAAAGGGATAAGCATAGAAAACAAATAATCCCAGGTGGAAAAACAAAAAGAAAAGCAAAACAAAACCTTTGTCAAACCCAATGGCAATTTAAGAACTCATTAGCCCAAGGAACAATTACTTAGGGAAGCTGGAAGGCTTCTAAGGTCCCTTCAAGCTCCAAAACTAGGATCCTACCCTCACTTTACAGGTGAGGAAATTGAGGCTTGGAGATGGTAATCAATTGTTCAGCCACACATCCAGACAGTATCAGAGCAAACACCGAAGCCAGGGTCTCTTGACTCCTAGCCTAACATTCTTCAGGGCTTAAAAATTAATTTGGACACAAATTCATTCTTACCGTAGGGACTGAACCCTAAGCTGTGAAGCTTACTTCAGAATGGAAGCCTAGGCTGAAGCTCTGCACAGTTTTCTAAAAAATCTGCACTGGCCCCACCCACATTTATGAACGATGTCTCTGACACTCTTGACTTTCCATTAAATAAAAATAATAATAACAATAATAGTAATGACATTTATATAGCACTTTAAAGTTTCCAGTACACTTTATAAGCATCATGCCATTTCAGCCTCGTAACAACCACGTTAAGTCAAAGTTGGAGATATTATTATCCCCATTTAACAAACGAGAAAATTGAGGCTTGAAGAATTAGATGCTTGCTCAGAGGGCCACCTAGCTATTTGAGCCAGGGGCAAGAATTGTCCTTCCTGTCTCCGGTGTCACCTATGATACCACACTGCCTCTTCCCTACTGAATGAGCTTAATAACAAAAATCCAGTGTGAGCACCAACAGAATTGTCTGTGAAAACCAAACCAAAATGGACTTAGAAAAGAGAGGCAGTGTTTCTCCCATGCTGTTTAGATGCCTGAATGATTCTCATTCCACTCTTGATTTCTTCTAGGCCCTGGACTAATCGAGCAAGGCTCGTTTTGTGATTCTATTAAGTACAGCTATTCTCTCTCACTTGTCCTACTCGACATACACATACATGGGAAACATAGTGCCCTTAACAAAAGAAGATATTGTGTGAATTAATAGGGCAAATGCCTTGAGTTGTTGGTTTTCCAGTAGTGGTGCTGGGCTTCATGGAGCCATCCCTGCGCTCTAGTTTGGTTCTTCCTAGAGCCACAAGCAGATAATAATGAAACAGCTAGTTTGGAACTAGGCATTCAGTGTTTGCTCAGAGAACAGCTTGTTTTACTTTGTGAAGCAAATGATTCAAAGTAGTAACAGAGCCCAGAAACTTGGTTTCATAAGCATTTGATTGTAACCTGTTGAGCTGGACCTAGACACACAAAGACTCATACCTATCCCCTCATACACATAAGACATAGTTATAGTCATTCAACAAAGTAGGTGACTAGATGCATCCATCAGTATGGGCAAGAACTTTCAACCAATCCCTTAGCATAGGGGAAACTCCCTTCACCAACAGATAGCAGCGCCAGTTATGACCTTAGATCTAGAGTTGGAAAGAATTCCAGCAACCATTTTGTCTAAGCCCCTCACTTTTTAGGCAAGGAAGCAGAGCCAGTGTGTCTCAGTGATGTGCCCAAGATCACATAGGGAGCAAGTGTCAGAGCTGGGACTTCAACCTAGGTCCTGTGAATGAATCCAAAGTAAGTGTTCTTTCCACTTGACTGTGATGACTTAAGAGATGGGTCCAAGGTTGGTGCCTAAGGTACAGAGAAAAGACTTGCTGAGACAGGTAGAGATTTGAACCTTGGTCTTCCAAACTCCAAGCGGACCATTTGCTTGGCTATCTAGTAACAATAATTCATGACTTCATAGCATTTAATATAGTTTATTAATTACTTGCCTCAGAACCCAAGTCAGGTAGTACAAATTTTATTCCTTTCCCTCATTTTACAGATGAAGAAACCAGGACCAAGAGGGGGTAATGTGGCTTGTCCATAGTCACACAGCTGACGCGTGAGTCTTTTAACTCTAAGTCCAGTGCTCTATTTCCACTATCCCTACTTTCTGCCTCTCATAACTGGGATAGTTATCTGGGAGAAGGAGAGGGGGAGAGAAAGAGAAAGAGAAAGAGACAGAGACAGAGAGGGAGAGAAAGAGAGAGAGAGAGAGAGAGACAGAGAGAGAGAGAGAGAGAGACTGAGACGGAGAGAAAGAGAGAGAGAGAGAGACAGAGAGAGACAGAGAGAGAGAGAGGAGAGAGAGACAGAGAGAGACAGAGACAGAGAGACAGAGACAGAGAGAGACAGAGACAGAGACAGACAGAGAGACAGAGAGAGACAGAGTGAGAGAGAAGAGAGAGAGGAGAGAGAGACAGAGAGACAGAGAGACAGAGAGAGGGAGGGAGGGAGGGAGGGAGGGAGGGAGAGAGAGGAGTCAGCAGAGCTATAGAGGCCTTAGGATGCTAGTGCACACAGAATCACAGACACAGGCAAGACAAAGCATGCTTCCAGCCATCAGGGCTGTTATTGGTTCCTGTTGATTTCTACCTCTGCCAATTTACTTGTGAATTCATCCTTTCCAGGACACCAGAGTCAACACTCAGAGCTTGAGTCCCTGGCCAGGCCAGCCTCTTGCAGGCATGGGGAGAGCTGGCATCTATAGCCAGGCAGGAAGTTTCAGAAGGGACAAATATCCAGACCGGACTGGGCTTATCTGCTGGATCCCTTGTTATTTCCTGAGCGGCCGGCCGTTATAAAGCTCAGCTCTTTATTTTTTTATTCCCCATCTTGGCAACCTCAGCCATCCTGAAAATGAACAGCCTTCCCAGTGCCAACAGAAAATTATTCCATTCCTCCTAAAGCATCTTAGGGAGGATTGAAGGTGCTGGAGACTGGGGCTCAGACAGGGGCTGCAGGATTCTAGCCCAGGTGAAAGGGAACTGAGCATATTTCCTCTGCCTCTCCTTATCCACAAACTTGGCCTCAGCCTGATCTTGGTGGTTTGGGCTCAGTGAGAGAAAAGGGGCCTCAAATAATATATACAGTAATAGATGACTCATAGAAAACTCATTTCCAGGGTCTTCTCAGCAACCTTCTGAAGTAGTCAGGGCAGGTATTATCACCCTGATTTTATAGATGAGAAAACTGAGCAAGGTTAATTGATTTATCCAAGGTCAAGTAACCAGTAAGTGACAGAAGTGGGACTGGAATCCCGATGTCTTGAATTTAATTCAGTGTTACTTACTACTATTCTAGGTTGTCAGAATATGGCCTCTCATACCTAGATCTGTATTTCATAAATTTTTATCTTCCCCTGCCCTGCCCTGCACCACAAAAATGCCCTATGATTCCTCTCATCCCTTGTCTTCTCTATTTTCAACCTTATTTTTATTAATAGCTTTTTTACGTCACTTTCATTTCAGAATATATCCCTTTCCCTACCCAACCCAGTGAGTCATCCCTTTTAATAAGGATTTTTTTTTTAAAAAAGAGAATAACAACAGTTCATTAAAGCCAACCAGTATATCTTCCAGAATTGAAAGCACATACAATATTCCACACCCATAGATTCCACACCTCTACAAAGAAAAAAAATAGATTTGGCCATATTTTTGTTTTCTAAATCTCCTTTTTAATCACTGGGCTGCCACCACCAGCTGATAACTGTTCAGAATGCCACAGTTTCACTTGGCATCACAACAGATCTCAAAGGAACAAGGGGGAAGGTCAACAAGGCAAAGAAAGTTGGCTCAGTCCATTCTTGGAATGCTCCCTGCCACCATCATACTTTGTCTTTCGAATTCCTGCCTGGTCCTCTTCAAGACCCAGTACAAATGTTCTCTTCTCCATGAAACCTCCTTCAATTTCCTTCCTTACACCTCACATAGGAAACTCCCAATCCTTTCTTAGGCTCTTACCACGCTCTATCTTGGTTTAGAATTACTTGTGTTTCTTTCTACTCCGGCTTTTTTCCTTCCTTCTAGTAGATGGTGAACTCAGTCAACAAAGATACCTGTCTATCTCTCTGCCATCATCACCACCACCCAGTGCTGAGCACAGTGCTCTGCATGTATTTTTTTATACTTCAAAGGATTATACACTTCATCCATACAAGTGGTTCTTCCTTGATGCAAATCACATATCCCTCTCCCACCCCAACTCCTCTGCCTCCACTCTATAGCTAGGTCTAACAAGTAGATAAGACTCCTGAGTTTAGAGTCAGGAAGACCTAAGTCCAAATCTTGCCTCAGACACTTAATGACTGTGTAACCCTAGACAAGTCTCTTAATCCTTCTCAGGCTGAATTTTCTCATCTGTTAAATGAAGAAGTTGGACTTTCTGTCAAAATGGCTATCCGAACAGAGGCAAACTGGCCATCTCCCCCAAACCCCTGAAGTTTGCGCCAACCCAAATAATAAGAAATGCAATAAGAAATTACAGTAAGTTTCTTCTTGCCCCAGAATTGTTTTAAAAGTCAGCAAAGAAGTCCATAGGAAATAGGAAATGAAGCCCCTTCCAGCAAAGGGAACACCAGAATGATCAGATGTGGCACACCTGTATAATCTGCAACTCTTAGTGTCTGGGGGCAGCAAGAATGGAAGAGTCCCCTGAGAAATTCCCAGGGCATTCAGAAAGCCTGAGGGTGGGGACCTTGGAAGCCATGGGGAGCAGCAGTGGGCAGCAGCCAATGTGTACCACAGAGCTCAGATCATGTCAGGCAAAGGGGATCTGAGGTCCCTAACAATGTATCCTGAGATGCCAGCATAGGCCTTGCTAATGCACTACTCTGAACCTCAGTGATCAAGTGGGACCTAACCCAGGAGGTAGAAATCAGTGCAAGAGCCCAGATGCAAGAGCATCCCCTAGCAGGGTTGATTGCTTGACCCAAAAGTACTGCAGGGGATGGAAACTGGCCCTGGAACAAAGCCGCAGTTCAGGAGCTAAAGCTGGAAGGACAAATAAATATAGAAAACACTGACCGGGATCAATTTTTTTTTTCAGATCTAACTCTGTAACAACTACAGGCAGAGACTCAAAGAGGAAAAAAAAATGGATTCTCCATAAGGACTACATGAATACCTAGAAGAAATGAAAAGACAGCTAAAAAAGAAAGAAAAAAGAATGAATGAATGAAAAAGGGAAAAAAAAAGAAATAAAAGCTTTTGAGGAAAGAATTGGAAGGAAAATGACATTCATAAGAAAAAGTAGCAAACCTTTCTCACAAATGGACTGCCTAAAAACTAGAATAGACCAAACACAAATCAATGACTCCATGAGACAGTAAGAGCAATTTCATATTAGAACAAAATCAAAACATTGAAGAAGTAGAAGAAAATGTAAGCTATATGTTATCAAAAACAACGATCTGCAAAACAAGTCAAAGAGAGCTAATTTAAGAATAATTAGACCTCCTGAAAAAGTATGATTTTTAAAAAAATAAGGCTGGACACCACATTTCAAGAAATCAAAAATGAACAACAGGGCAAAGCAAAGATAGAAAGAACCTAAAGAATCTAATCATCACCTTCTAAAAGGAATCCCCAAAGGAAAAGTCCTAGGAATGTCTTAGCCAAAATCCAGAGCTCCCACATGAAAGAAAAAAACACTACAAGCATCCAGAAAGAGGCAGTTCAAGTACCAAGACACTATAGTCAGGATCACACAAGACCTGGCAACTTCCACTAAAAATGAGAGGAGATCTTGTAATAGTCCCTCTTAGAAACATCTCTATATTTTAAAACTATATAGGCCTCTCCTCTGTGTACAGAAAGAAGCATGTAGTCAGATGAAAGTTTAATTGTTGAAAGAAAAATCAAATCAAGTGAATGTTTTATAAGGACCTACAATAAAAACCTACTTATGCGAAAAAGGAAAATAAAATGAGAGAGTTGGACTTGATGGCCTCTAAGTTCCCCTCTAGCTCTAAGTCTATCTATCACACACTATCTACACACACACACACACACACACACACACACACACATCCTGTTCTAGGCTGTTGTTATCCATTCCATTTAAAAATTCCTCCATAGACAGCAATGACATAACAGATAGATGTTGTACTCAGAGCCAAGAAAGATCCTGCCTGAAATGTTTATTTCCTATGTGATTACAGAAAAGTAACTTAGAAGCAATGTGGACAGAGTACCTGATTTCATATCAGGAAGACCTAGGGGTTAGAATCTGACTTCAGACACTTACTGTGTGACCCTGTGCAAGTCTCTTAATGTCTCTGGCCTCAGATTTGTTATCTGTAAAAAAAAAAAAAAGCCAGTGTAAAATGAGGGGATGTGGGCTTAATGATATCCAAGTTCTCTTCCAGCCTCAGTTTCTCCATTTGTAAAACTGAAATAGTAATACCTATACTACTTATTTCACTGTGTGGTTGTGAGGAAAAGTACTTTATAAACCATAAAATGCTTTATAAATGCATTAGAACAGTGGTGTCAAAAATACCACCCACAACCCTCCAGAGTATGGCCTGAACCAGATCAAAATATAAAGGGGAAATATTTAACAAAATAAATCCAAATATAACAGAATATAGATAATGTTAATATGTGGTTTGCTAAGTCAACATAAAGACTGCAGTAATCCTCATGTATGGTTTAGTGGCTCTGTTTCTATTTTAGTCTGATACCATTTCATTAGAGGATCAATACAACAAACTCGTTCCTTCCTCTAGTCCTTTTACTAATTCTACACAGATAGAGAGGAATATGAGTCTTGAAATATTGCATACACTAATAAACATGGCTAATTTGTTGGTTAGTTTTGTTGAACTGTCAGCTAGTTTGTTCAATTCTTTCTTTTTAAATCTTTATTACAAAGTATGACTTGTGGGTAGGGGGAAGGAGAGAGATTTATTTGGATTTGAAGGTGATATAAAAGATATCAATAACAATAAATAAAAAATGGCAGAAAGGTGGGGCTACTAATGTAGTACCTGGACTATCTATCTATTGTTCTTTTTGCTTTATTGTCAATGTATCTTTAATGATGTCTTTTATACTGCTTAGTTTTATTCAACAAACATTGCTTAAGTGCTTACTATGTGAAAGGTCATGGGGATACAAAAACAATTCCCATTCTCAAATAGTTTATATTTTACTTTATTTCTTATACACAAATGGTGATTGGTAATATGCTTCAGACTATTTATACCCACCATAATAATAATTATTATTATAGTTGACATTTATATAGAGTTCTATGATTTTCAAAACACTTTACATGTATTATCTCATTTGATCTCATCATGCATATTTCATTTGCCATTTCAGTCACCTGTAATTTTGATTCTTCCAGGATTGTAGTGTTCCATAATTCATAACCACATACCATTTCTAAGAAAATTTTGTTGTTAAAGAGATAGGCTTTTATGAAGGGATAATTGAAAGCTCTACACAAAAACAATTCAGCCTGATGTTCTCCTACTACTCATTTCTGGCACTAGCTCATGGTCTGTGTCCTATGTCTGCACAAGATATTTGTATCTCATGGACTAACTCAAGCAGCCATCCATCAAACTGCACATCATAGTCTGAGTAATGTATATTTTTCGTCCACTTTGTTTTTCTACAATAGTTAGTACAATCTCTTTTGCATTGCTGTGGATTATACAGAAGAGACTTTCCTGAGGCTCAGTGTATTCAATACAATGTCAGTTGTAAATGGAGGTATGTGCTAAACCTTTCCATCAATAAAGAATCCTTCTTTGGGGCCTTCTCTAGGCCCAGTTCTATGCCACTGACAAACACCTTAGTCCAGCATTCGCGCCATGTCTATACCTCACCTGATGCTCCAAATTGTTGAACAAAGTCATCTCTATAGTCCGTTCAGTAATAGAGTCAGAGTCTGGCACAATTTTAACGTGCAAGTGGGAAACATTTTGTCTAAGGAGAGCCTTCAAAGCAGCAGTTAGTTCTATTGAGCCAAATTGTTCCTTAAAAACTCAACAAAAAAAGACACATTGGGATCTTCTATTCCCTATCCTCAGCCAGTTGTGTGTCCATAAAAATGTGCTTTGTGCATTATAAGAACTTGGCAAATATTTATTGAATTAAATTCCTTTGCTCTTCCCCAGCTGTCACCAATAAATAGCTGTTTGGAGCCCTGCATTTGACCTTCAAAATCCCTTTGGAATTCCTCTTTTAACTCAATAAAATTCAACAAACACTTCCTCTGCTAAGCAGTGGATATGTAGAAACAAAAAAGGGACAAAAATGAAATAGTTCCTCAAGGTGCTCTCCTTTTAATAAGAGGATACAACCAGTATAACATAAGTAAATACAGATGAATGTCAATCAACAAATATTTATTGAGCACCTCCCATGTTCCAGGCACTATGCTAAGCACCAAGAAAGGCAACCAAAAAAGAAAGAAACAATTCCTCCTCTCAAGGAGCTCACAGTCTAATGGGGGGAGGTAACATGCAAACAAGAATACTTATACAAGATGCATACAGGATAAATTGGGGGCTATCTCAGAGGGAAGGCACCAAGATTAAGGAGGACTGAGAAAGGCTTCTTGCAGAAAGTGGGACTTTAACTGAAACCAAGGAAGGCAGAGATGAGGAGGGAGAGAATTCCAGGCATGGGAGACTGGACAGCCAGTGAAAATGCATAGAGTCAAAAGAGGGAGTGTCTTGTGTGAGGAGCAGCAAGGAAGACAAGGTCATTGTATCACAGAGTAGGTGTAAGAAGGAATGGTCGCTATGTAAGAGTAAGTGTAAGAATTACTTTAAGATGGAAGGTGGGAAAGGGCCAGGTTATAAAGGATAAAGATATTACTGTCTGCTGGCAGACACAATCCCCAATGTGTTACTCTCTGCTCAAACCCTTAAAGAGTCTTGAAATTGTGACTGAAAGATTAGCTTCTAGGCTGTCGCAAGGATAGATGAAAAAATAATCTTTAGGCAGGAACATGACCTGATAGAGTAGAATAGAGATGATCATATCAGAGGTGACAACTACGTGAGACAGGAGTGAGGCTAAGAGATGGGTTATAAGCAAGATGGTGCCCGGTCAAGGGACGGCTGCCACCCCAGCCACTAGGACAACCATTGGGAGAAAATTGTCAGGGGAGCAAAACCTGGGTCACTAACACAAAATGTAAGTAAGCCACGTGAACAGATACAACGTGGCTGGAACTGTTTGTGCTGACCGTGAACAGAACTGATGAATCTGCATGGGGGTGGGGGGTGGAGGGGGTGGGGAATGAGCTCGTTTCCCAATTGCTTTTTCTTAAGAGTCTGTTTTGCTTTCAATTTTGAGGTTTCTCTGGGATAAAATGGTCAGCCACTGAATTGCTGATTTCTCTGTGTGTTTGCTAAATGTTGGCCAAGGGAGAGGTAATAGTAGTAAAGTACCCAGGAGAGAGGTTTTTGGTTTTTGGGTTGTTTTTTTAAATAATTTCTAGGACCTTCCCAGCATGGGAATTATACAGAAGAGAAAATGATTGATTCATATTTTTATAGCTTCCCAAAGAGAGCTCTAGACCAGTTAGACAAAATGAGCTTATCAGTATTGGTGGGGAAAGGTTTCTAAGTGTTAAGCTGATAATTAGCTTCACTGAGATGATTTAGTTCAGTCATTTCCCCTTTTCCACGGTTTTTTCCCAAGTCAGGTTTGAAAAGAAACCCTTCCTCAAGGGATCACACCCAAAGGGAGGCCAGAGGGAGTAACTGAGGGAGATTAGTGCCACTCACACTAAGGTGCAGCTAGAGAGGAGTAACTATTCCCCCCTTTTCACTAGCACAGTTCCACCTCCCTATCCGTACACAATAGATATAAATCTATGTACATATATGTATACATATATATCAACACACACACACACACACATACACACACATACATATATATGAGGCAGCTAGGTGGTACAGTGGATAGAATGCTGTATTTAAGAGTCAGGAAGACCTGAGTTCAAATCTGGCCTCAGTCACTTATTAGCTATGTGAAGCTGGGTATCTATTTCAGTTTCCTCCCCTATAAAACGGGAATAAAAATAACACCTACCCTTCCCAGGGTTGTTGTAAAGAAAATTAGTTAATGTTTATAAAGCAGTTTGTAAACCTTGAAAGAGAGAGAGAGA